CCTCTTCTAGAATACCTGGCTGGTACAGTTAGTGCCCTCTTCTAGAATACCTGGCCAGTACAGTTAGTGCCCTCTTCTAGAATACCTGGCCAGTAGAGTTAGTGCCCTCTTCTAGAATACCTGGCCAGGTTTCTTTGCCACTGGCCATTTGCCAGGTGGGAAGAACAGGCGAAAGATGATAGAGGCCCTTCGCCAGTGACAGCAGCATTGCACAGAACACTTCTGTATCTTGTCAGCTAGTTTTAAATCGTATTTTTACTTGAAAAATCCTAGTAAAAATTCTTAAGTGAAATTATACTGTGATGAAGGACCATGGTGTAAAATGAACCTAACTCATGGAGCACAGCATGATAGATTCTTCTCACAAATACTGCCAGGTTTCACTGCTAGTATAAAATATTTTTAAATGCAGCTTTTATTATTTTTAGGCAAAATTGAGTAAGGGACATTTATATCTGTGTCAGTTTACAGTTTAAGCTTATTTTTCTTTGGTGGTGAGAAACTGGTTGTTTCACAGATCTACTGAAAGAAGGAAGAGCAGGTGGAGGAGAGGGGCAGGGAGGGAGGGAGGGAGGGTGAGGTCCCTGAGCCCAGCAGCGCTGTGGGGTGGGCCTTTACCCAGCGCTCGGCCGCTTTTCTTACTTTGAGACTGAAGGGTTTGTTGTCTCATTCCCAGTTAGTGGCATAGCCTACTGTGGAACCTCTTCACCCCAAATGCATGCTTCTGTGCTGTGCTGAGTCTCCGCAGTCACTGGAGAGCCAGCTGATTCCAGCCCATGTTGATCCCGGAGCCTGCCTTGCCTGAATTGATGATGTGCCAGAGACTTTGTCACAGACAGTTATATATACACGTGTATATACAAGTATATATATGTGTGTATACATGAGAAAAAAAATTTTTGAGACAGGGTCTTACTAAGTTACTGAGGCTGCCCTCAAACTTGGGATCCTCCTGCCTCAGCCTCCTTAATCACTGGGAATACAGGTGTCCACCAGCACACCTACTTAATATAAAATATTTTAATGTTTCGTACAGGGTAGGCACAGGATCTCTTTTATCCTTAAGATAACGTATGTTATTAGTACAGATCTACCATCTCTTATCAGTGACTTCGAAATCTAGAAATTAAAACCAAAGTCTTTTTGCATAAATTGTTTGACAATAAATCTCACTTAATCTGAATAAGTTAATGACAAAACCTGATTTAAATGGACATGACGTTATTTCTGATCTTACTGTTCTTAGTGTAAATATTCATCCATGTGTTATGTGGCAGAAGTAGTATCATATTGTGAGTTGTTGCCACTAAGGCCCCTTGGATTAATTCCATTTAGCCCATTAAGGATATTCCTTAAGTGTGAAAAATTCTGAAATACATCAGGGTTTTGGATAAAGGATTGGTAGCATGAATTATTCCTATTTTATATCTTTAAAAATTAAAAGGTGAGATAATTTTTCCAGATCTTTGAACCCAAGACTCTTGGCCTGGAGGTCAGCATGTAGGTACAGTATTTTAATTCAGATAAGGCTGCTAAGAATAGAATCTGCTGGGTGGGAAAAATAATCACTTCTGATGTTATCTATGCCAATAGCATTTCAAAGATGGTCAGCAATTGATTGAACTGAATTAATAGCTCAAAACCAATTAAGAAGGTTATTAGCTTACTATGTATATCTGGACACTTGCTATAAAATCACCACAAAATAATGTTTAAAGCATCAACCTTTTTAGGTTTATGTATGTTAAATGATGGAATTTCAGAAATGATTATCAGGCAATTACTTTCATTAAATACATTGTTCTTGAAAGAATGAATCAATATTAAAACATTTTTTTTTTACAGGTATGATCACCGATCTTTTCATAGATAAGTTTAAGTTCAAAGGCACCAATGTGAAAACCAAAGTACCTCTCCTATTGCAGATTCTGGACAGTTATGATCAAAATGCATTGATTGCTTTCTTTGATGCTGCATGAAAGATAAACAGGGCAAAGTCCCAAAGAAGTGGTCTTTTAAACAAAATGTTAAAGCCAAGTTACAAGCCAGCTTGTAATAACTAAATATATTTGAGATACATTGACTTTAAGCTTCTGTTTCTTTTGAAAAATGGAACTGTTTTAAAATAAAGTCTTATTTTTAAAACACAAGTAGAATGATTATGAGGGATATTAATGAATTTGGGGCAAGTAGATGTTTTAATTTTTAAATTGAGAAATTTGTATTTGGAAGCAGGTATGGTGGTGCACAACTCTAATCCCAGCTATTCGGGAGGCTGAGGCAGGAGGTTCAAAAGTTTGAGGCCAACCCCAGCAACCTGGCAAGACCTTTTTTTAAAAAAGGGTTGGGGATGTAGTTCAGTGGTAGAAAGCCCTTGGGCTCAAACCCTAGTACCACCAAATTAAAGAAATAAATAAAGTAGATTTGTAAACTACAGATTTCAGAATTTTTTTTTTTTATTTTTGTATCTTACCTGGTTTGATCTTCGCAATTCTTTTATTTATTTGCAAACCTCTCAATGAAGTTACATGGTGTTAAGCTGGTTCTGCACCTGGTTTGTGTCCTGATTCCTGTGTGTCATCAACCAGTGGAAATAACCTACCAGTGATTTTTTTTTCTGGGAGTTGGAATTGATTTGCCGCTGATTTCTTTGTTGCTTGGGGACATTTTGTGACCCTGCTGCAGTTGGTGAAGTGCTTCACTTGGCTCACTGCTGTCAGTGGAGACCAGGGAAGTAAGAGGGGCTCAGGATGGAGGGATCATAACTGGCTGCGCTCTCCCCAGTCCAGCTCTCCAAGTGTGTACCTGAAGAGTTTTCTACAGTTTTCTTGCATTCAAATCCACTAACTTCATTATATATGAAGGAAAATAGCATTTTCAAGCTACATAGTTTGGTTCATTAATTCTTATTCATTTGGTGGGGAATACTGTATTTAAAGGTTTTAAAATGGCATAAAGATACTGGGAAATAAGCTATTTTATATTTTCAAGAACGGTAGACTCATGAAATTTCCATAAAACAGTGATTCTTAATTATATGTCATATTATGTGCCAGTCTTGAATATTAAATGTAAAATTTGTTAAAGGCACTTGTAGTTGAGTTTTATTCTAATAAGGTCATACTGTCTTTATTGTGGGGGTGAGGGGATGGCATTGGGGATTTAATGAATCCAGGGCCTTTTACATGGTCTGTACAAATGAGCCACATCCCCAGTTCCTGTTTTCAGTGTATTCGAACAGCCTTAATTCCTAAATGAAATATATAATCACATCCGGGCCACCAAGATACCACTGTCTTGCTTTGTGTTGGCTGCCACAGCTTAGGGAAAAAGATAAAAATTAGTGATTATTTAAATTTCTTGTAATACATAACTGTCACATATTATCAAAAGTAGTGCAATCTTAGATTGATTGCATTTTCATTCCGAAAAAAGCATGAGCCGGGGCTGAAGGCGTAGCCCAGGGGGCGTGTGCTAGGTGTGTTCAGACCCACGAGATTCAGCCTCTGAATCTGGGAGGCTCTGCCTTTCCAACCCTAACGTGCAGACGCCCTTCCGCCCAGTTAACAAGTGGCAGGCGGAGCCAGATTCGCGGAATCACCTGGCCTGGGGGACCCGAGTGCCGAGGCTGCAGATGGGCAGCACCCTGCGGTTGCCGGAGTTCAATTCCGTCAGTCCTTAGAAGCTTAGGGACGCGGGGGACTGCGAGCCTAGGGAAGCTTGGCGCCAGTCCCCGCCCCAGGCCGGCGTGGCCCCACCCGGCGCCTGTCCTCCCTGCGCGGCCCCGCCCCCGCCTCTACCCCGTCGTCCTGCGCAGCCCCGCCCCTGCCTGCGTGTCCCAGTCCCGCGCCCGGAGGCCCCCGCGCTCGTTGCGCCCGTCGCTCTGGCTGACGTCACGGCCGGAGCGCTCATTGGTCCATTTCAATAGTCGCGGGATACTTGAACTGCAGGAACAGCCGCCGCACGGCGGGCTGCCGGCTGGCTGCATCTCGGGCGTCCGCGCCTCCGCGCCGCGCCGCGCCGCGCC